TTTCTATCAAATTCTTTAAAGATTTGTGCAATGCAAATGTATGTTAGGTTGTAACCAACAACTTTTATCTCAAATTGACTCTATCAAGTTCTTTAAAGATTTGTACAACGCATATGTATGTTAGGTTGTAACCAGTTTTCTACAAAAACAGCCACGACGGTGGCTGTGACACCCTTAAAAGACAGCCCAGTTCTGCCTCAGGAAGAAACATTGCCAGTTGGTGGCAGCATTCACAAAAGCCGGTCACATTTCCTCTGTTACCTTTAGGTTGGATTTCAAAACAACTCTAGAAAACACTCAAAGGCAAGCCTAGAAACTGCATATGAACTGCAGGAAAGTGGAAGGTTTCTGACTACAATCCAGTTCCACAAAACAATACAGCTTCTAGCGAAAAGCAGAGTGCTGGCGTCATCTTTACCTCCTGAGCAGCTTACAGAAACAGGGCAGAAGCTTGCTTGCCCCTCTGGCAGAAGGTGGGGTGCGTGCGCACCAGCTGATCTTTCCCCTTCCTGATATTTGTCTCTGGTCAGCGATGCTCCCAGCCCTCCTAACTGCTAGTCCGCCTCCCTCTCCTAGAAAATAAAGCTGTGTCATTTTAGAGACTTTTTAAAAATGACATCTGCTCATGATCTACAGATTGAGGACACAGTTTTGTTTTGCACTGACAGAAAACAGCAGCAACAAAAAGTTTTAACCAAGCAGCTAGAATATTACTAGCGAGCTCTACACACCGCATCGAGTTAGTCACGCACGACGTGCACGTATTGTATTACAGGGCCAAGCGTTCCAAGGAAGAGGGATGTTCTAAGGAGGAGCCCTTTGTTTGTTTTTATGATTCAAAAATGTTATAGAGCCTAATATGAAATTTTTATTTCAACCATGCGATGTCCCTTGAGAAAATTTTTTAATCTAGAAATTCATTCTCAAAATTCAAACAACAAAGCCCAAAGGTGAATTCATAAGAATTTTAAGTTACTGATTGCAATTATGATTACAATCACTTTGTAATTGGTTGTTTATATGTTTAAATTTTGTTGACATAATTATATTTAAAAAGAAAATGTTTTGAATATTGAGTTAGCTGAACTTGTGCCTACTACACAAATGAGGAATTTTCTAAGCAGTATTAATTCCTTTCATACACCTTTCAGAATTATTATTTTAAAAGTTATAGCAGTTTGTTCCATGAAATAGTCATTTATTTTAGAAAATTCCTCTTCCCTGAATACTTAAGAGCCTATTGAAAATATATCAGTATTTTTAATGAGCAAAATAAATAAAGTTGAAAGCCTTTACAATTTCCAAGAAACTGATACAATCTATTAACAAATCTTGAATCTTTAGACATTTGGAATGCCATTCACAGATAGTAAAGGAGCCAAACAGCAGTTACATTTTCTCAAGTAAATCATTCTGTTGCACAGAATTACCATGTTACAAAATTCTTGTGAAATTTCAGTTGAAACATATTAGCAAATACATTTGTGAAAAAAAAGAAAAAACAACTAGCAGCTAAAGTGCAGGAAGGCCCCTTATGAATCTTAGATGGGGAAAAGTCTGTTTTTGCATGGTTCATTCATCAGAGAAAGGGAAATTTATTAAAAGAGCTACTCAAAGTCATCATTTAATAAAGTGAAATATGATGAAATGTTGCCACTCTTTTAAATACTAAATAGGTCTCTGACAAGTAGGTTTTGAATTAAAGCTATTCTAACTGGCCACATAGTACTCCACATAACCATCCGTACAGACAGTTTTCAGAGGCCCTCTAGATAGAAAATACTGTCAAACAGCTACAGGGTTAAGAATTAAAAAGAAAAAACCCATGAAAACTGCAGTATTACCTATTATCTACTTACTTTTATCTTATATAATGCCTTTGTTACATAAAACAGGAAAGAGAATTAAGGATGCTTCCTATTGTATTTATTATTAAATATCTTTAAGTATTAAATTATTTCTAAATTAATAATTATTAATTAACTAATGATTCACTATTAAATAATGATTAAATATTATATATTAACGATTTATATTCAATAAATATAAACTTAAATAACTGCTATTAAATACTTGTATTTACTTACTATTATAAATACCTTACTACTGTAAGAATGATTGTGTATGATTCCATGTTAAAAACCCAAAGCAAAACAATCGAATAAAAACACCCCTTGCTGAAAGACAGGACCATTTTGTTATCTGTGAAAGGAAAGAGAACTTCCAAGGGAAGATCTCTAGGCTGCTTGCTGGCAAGAGGCCATGTGAGCAGTAGCCGGCCCTGTGCAGAGAGCAGGTTGGCAGATGTTATTAGCTGACTTTTGCTGAAGAAGTATGGGAGAACAGTTGGGAAAATCACAAGGTGTCGAACAAGCTTTTAATAAATAAATAGCTTATTTAGCAATAGAAAGGGAGAAAGCCCACACACTCTTTGGTGAGGAAGATGACTGGGGTCCCTCTAATTTCAGGGTCCTGTACTAACTTCCTAATGAGAATGGAAAGTGTATCTCCCACACTTGCATTTAGGAGTTTTAGGTCTCGAGAATGGCAATTAGTTTGCAGTTTTGCTGTAGGGAATTTGTGATCTTTGTGGTACGAGAAAACCACTCCCATAGGTGACGGCTCTCACACTTCCCCCCTTGTGCCCCTAACTTGGTGACTGAGGCAGGCAGCACATGCGGAAGGTGCCAACTGCCAACTGAGAGCTCTGACACCTTAACTTGAGTGCTGGCATTTGACACTGAAATAGCCCGAAGGGAAAGGACAGGCATGCCATGGGTGACACTTGCTAACATCTGATGGGCACAGCAAGTAAATACTGAAGTGACTATATGAAGATCTAATTTTATAGGAAAAGCCAAAAAAGAAAAGAATGAAACAATTGCAAAATATACTTTCTCATGATCATCCCATGATGCTGAAAAGAGGCTGCCCCATGGTCACTGCCTGCTGGTCAGGGTTACAGAGCACAAGGCTGACCCGTTTCCATTCCTCGTAAAGGGAGATGGAAATCACCACCAAGCCAAAAGTGGGCCACATTTTTCCTCAAGCTCCAAGAATCCCTTCATCTCTCCTTTATGAGCAAACATACTGCGAGGCAACATTTGTTAACATAGAAAGGGCAACAAGATCTAAAAAGAATAGGAAACCAAAGTACAATGTCCATAAAGGTGGTGCCCCCAAGCACACACCATCACACACATACAAACCTACACACCCATGCACATACACACACATACACTTAAAACATTTCTGGAAGTATTATTTTTCACAGCATGGTTTGAAATGGAGGGTCGACTTTAAATATACCTCTTGAGGCAAATTTCATTATAGTTGCCTCACTGATTAGTCTTTCCAAATTTATGTTACTCACCAATAATCATAACTGTATACATGACAAAAAAGAAAAGACAAAATAGGCCATGATCCTCGTGTAAGGAGGGCTCTCTTGGCACCTAATATTAATTAGAATTCTTAAGGCACATTCTTACGCACATGTTAAATATATGTCACCCTTTCCTTTTTATATACTATAGAGGAAATTCAAAGGCTAAGTTCCTTAATAAAAAATAACCAGCATTATTTTCAAATTATTTCATGAAGACACAAATTCAGAAAAAAAAGACAAGGGCTTTTGTTAGCCTTCTTAGTTTCTGCAAGACACAGATCCTGCTCCCATCTGAACTCAGAAGCTTCCCACCCTCTTCATTTACCCTTTTGACATTTGGGGGATGCGACTGTATGGGTCCTTATTTGTAATGGACTTGTAAAGTCCAAAAGCCACGTTGCTGTAAAAATTCGAGCGCTTCTTCAAGGGCATCTTCACCGCGGCGGCCGCTGCCAGGGCAGGGCGCGCAGGTCGGGGGCCGCCCACCTCCCGCGCTGCGGAGCGCGCTGCAGAGGGGCTGGTGGGAGGTGGGCTCCCCGCCGCGGGGACGCGGCTCCCGGGGCCGTTTTCTCGCTGGAGCCCGCCCCCTTCCCGGCACTATGGAAACTGCATTTTTCTACGCCTGCTCGTCCTCCTTCTCTTTCTCCTATTACATCCCAAACACGATTTCAACTTCCCGAGAACCTGACAAGTGAATGGCGCCGATGACGCCCCGGAAGAGCCCACGACCCGGGGGCGGGAGCAGGGCGCCCCCGAGCGGGTGGGACCGCGGGAGCCAACCGCGGCCAGCGCTGCCCGGGGTTGGGGGTGTCGCGCCTGCGCCCCTGCCGCACCCCGCTCTCCTCCGGCGAAGGGCAGCAAGCTGCTATCGATCCCGAGCACACCGGTGACTAATGTGATGCTCATAAACAAGCTGCGGGCCGGGCACCGGGCACCACCCAGGCGCAAGCCCGCCGCCGAGGGCGGGCGCGCGCCCACTCCGAGTTTGGGCGCCGATCCGCTCGCTGAAGTGTGCGCGTCGGCGGGAGGGGGTGAGAAAGGGCAGCCAAGTTCACTGCCACTTCTCGCCCCCCGCGAGTGGGGCGGCAGCGGGGCGATGCGGCGCCCGAGTGCGGGGCTAGGGCCCCTTCCTCTGCGCCCAACCCCGGCAGGCGGTCTCCGCGCTTCATCTCCGCGGGCCCCAGCCTCCGGCAGTGTCCCCACCCCACGCCCGACCCCCTCCCCGGCGGAAGCTTGAGTCCAATTAATTGAGTCCACGGCGGGAGGGTAGGGCCCTCCGCGCGGCGGCCTGCCCCCGCCCCTCCTGCGCGCCCCTTTTCCCGCCCTGGGTGGCATCTCCTCCGCCAGCATCCCCAACGAGCCTCTGATTAATGAGGCTCGGGCCGGCCCCCCACCCCGCCCCGTCTGCGGCCTCGGCGGAGGGGGAGGGGACGGCGGGAAACGCGGCCCGGGGAGAAAGGGGGGCGGGGCGGGGGCGCGCGGCCTGCCCCGCCTGCGGCCCGCGCCCATTGGCCGCGCGCAGCGTCCGTCGGGGGGCGCGGCGCCAATGCGGGCGGCGGGGCGGGGCGGCCGCGCCGTGTGTGCCTGCGTAACGCCGAGTCACATGTTGTTTTGCTCTTCTTAGTTCAGTCACTCGGTGCGCGATGTGTTACTCACTGTGCGGCGGGGACCGCGGCGAGCCCGGGTCGCCGTTGGCAGCAGGAGCCCCGGCAGCGGCGCGGACCCCGAGTGCCTGGGCGCAGCCCGGCGCCCCGCAACGCGGCGCGGGGGCAGGACCAGTGCGGCCGCGCGCGCCTTAGGCTCGGCCCCGCGGCTCGGAGACCCCGACTCTCGGCCCAGCCAGCAAGTCCCCAGGCGCCGCCCGGGAGCCCGGGAGGCAGAGGCCGCGGGCGGCCGGGCATCCTCTCGGGCCGCGGAGGGCGCTGCGCCACCGCGCGCTGCCGGGCGCCCCGCTCCCCGGCCTCCGAACCTTCCCGGCTCCGGGCCCGAGGGACGCGGGCTCCGGCGGGCGAGCGCGGGGAGAGGGAGCCCCGCCCGCGCCCTCGCTCCCCAGCCTCTCCGAGCCGAGCCGGGCCGGGGCTGCGGCCTGAAGCTCCCGCGATGGCGAGCCCGCCGCGGCATGCGCTCCCCGCGCCGGCGGGCGGCGACGGCCCCAACCTCAATAACAACAACAATAACCAGAGCGTGCGCAAGTGCGGCTACCTGCGCAAGCAGAAGCACGGCCACAAGCGCTTCTTCGTGCTGCGCGGGCCCGGCGCGGGCGGAGACGAGGCGGCGGGCGGGGGGCCGGCGCTGCAGCCGCCGCGGCTCGAGTACTACGAGAGCGAGAAGAAGTGGCGGAGCAAGGCGGGCGCCCCAAAGCGGGTCATCGCGCTCGACTGCTGCCTGAACATCAACAAGCGCGCCGACGCCAAGCACAAGTACCTGATCGCCCTCTACACCAAGGACGAGTACTTCGCCGTGGCGGCCGAGAACGAGCAGGAGCAGGAGGGCTGGTACCGCGCGCTCACCGACCTGGTCAGCGAGGGCCGCGCGGCTGCCGGCGACGCGCCCCCCGCCGCCGCCACCGCCGCGTCCTGCAGCGCCTCCCTGCCCGGCGCCCTGAGCGGCTCGGCAGGCGCCGCCGCGGCCGATGACAGCTACGGGCTGGTGGCGCCCGCCACGGCTGCCTACCGCGAGGTGTGGCAGGTGAACCTGAAGCCCAAGGGCCTGGGCCAGAGCAAGAACCTGACGGGCGTGTACCGGCTGTGCCTGTCGGCGCGCACCATCGGTTTCGTGAAGCTCAACTGTGAGCAGCCGTCGGTGACGCTGCAGCTCATGAATATCCGCCGCTGCGGCCACTCGGACAGCTTCTTCTTCATCGAGGTGGGCCGCTCAGCCGTTACGGGCCCCGGCGAGCTGTGGATGCAGGCCGACGACTCGGTGGTGGCTCAGAATATACACGAGACCATCCTGGAGGCCATGAAGGCTCTCAAGGAGCTCTTCGAGTTCCGGCCGCGCAGCAAGAGCCAGTCGTCCGGGTCGTCTGCCACGCACCCCATCAGCGTCCCGGGCGCGCGCCGCCACCACCACCTGGTCAACTTGCCCCCCAGCCAAACGGGCCTGGTGCGCCGCTCACGCACGGACAGCCTGGCCGCTACCCCGCCGGCCGCCAAGTGCAGTTCGTGCCGGGTGCGCACGGCCAGCGAGGGCGATGGCGGCGCGGCGGCGGGAGCCGGGGCGGCGGGCGGCAGGCCGGTGTCGGTGGCCGGGAGCCCCCTGAGCCCGGGGCCGGTGCGCGCGCCCCTGAGCCGCTCGCACACACTGAGCGGTGGCTGCGGCGGCCGCGGGAGCAAGGTGCCGCTGGCGCCGGCAGGGGGCGCCCTGCAACACAGTCGCTCCATGTCCATGCCCGTGGCGCACTCGCCGCCGGCCGCCACCAGCCCCAGCAGCCTGTCGTCCAGCAGTGGGCATGGCTCGGGCTCCTACCCGCCGCCTCCGGGCCCGCACCCGCACCTGCAGCATCCGCTGCATCATCCCATGAGCCAGCGGCCCTCCAGCGGTAGCGCCTCGGCCTCGGGCTCCCCCAGCGACCCCGGGTTCATGTCCCTGGACGAGTACGGCTCCAGCCCTGGGGACCTGAGGGCCTTCTGCAGCCACAGAAGCAACACGCCCGAGTCCATTGCCGAGACTCCCCCTGCCAGGGACGGCGGCGGGGGCGAGCTGTACGGGTACATGACCATGGACAGGCCCCTGAGCCACTGTGGCCGCCCCTACCGCAGAGTCTCAGGGGAGGGGGCCCAGGACTTGGACAGAGGGCTGAGGAAGAGGACTTACTCGCTGACCACACCTGCCCGGCAGCGGCCAGCGCCCCAGCCCTCCTCCGCGTCCCTGGATGAGTACACCCTGATGAGGGCCACCTTCTCCGGCAGCTCGGGCCGCCTTTGCCCGTCCTGCCCCGCCTCCTCCCCCAAAGTGGCCTACCACCCTTACCCCGAGGACTACGGCGACATCGAGATCGGGTCCCGCAGGAGCTCCAGCAGTAACCTGGGCACAGACGATGGCTACATGCCCATGAGCCCTGGCGCGGCCCTCCTGGGTGGAGGCAGTGTCAGCTGCAGGGGTGACGACTACATGCCAATGAGCCCCACCAGCGTGTCGGCCCCGAAGCAGATCCTGCAGCCGCGCGCTGCTGGAACGGCCTTGCCCCCCACGGCAGCTGCAGTGCCCGCGCCCGCCTCTGCAGCTGGCAGGGCCTTTCCGGTGAGCGGGGGCAGCTTCAAGGCCAGCTCCCCGGCCGAGAGCTCCCCGGAGGACAGCGGGTACATGCGCATGTGGTGTGGTTCCAAGCTGTCGGTGGAGAACACTGACAGCAAGCTGCTTCCCAACGGGGACTACCTCAACATGTCCCCCAGCGACGCAGGCACCTCGGGAACCCCACCCGACTTCTTCTCAGCCGCCCTGCACGGTGGGGGAGAGATGCTCAGGGGCGTCCCCGGCTACTGTTACAGCTCCTTGCCCCGTTCCTACAAGGCTCCCTACACCTGCAATGGGGACACGGACCAGTATGTGCTCATGAGCTCCCCCGTGGGGCGCATCCTGGAAGAGGAGAGGCTGGAGCCGCCGACCAGCCCGGGGACCTCGCAGGCGGCCAGCGCCTTAGTGGCCGGGGCTGGTGGGGGTGGGCACCCCCAGGCCCCCCACCCAGTAGTGCCTTCGCCCGGGAGGCCCAGCGGCAGCGTCCGCCCGGAGGCCTTCCTGAACCAGCGCTGCCGGGCGATGCGGCCCACGCGCCTGTCCCTGGAGGGGCTGCAGACCCTGCCCAGCATGCACGAGTACCCTCTGCCGCCCGAGCCCAAGAGCCCCGGCGAGTACATCAACATTGACTTCGGCGAGGCGGGGGCGCACCTGTCGCCGCCTGCCCCTCCGCTGCTGGCTTCGGCGGCCTCGTCCTCGTCGCTGCTGTCTGCCAGCAGCCCGGCCTCGTCCCTGGGCTCGGGCACCCCGGGAACGAGCAGCGACAGCAGGCAGCGCTCCCCGCTCTCTGACTACATGAACCTCGACTTCAGCTCCCCCAAGTCCCCCAAGCCCAGCATCCAGGGTGCAGACCCCGTGGGCTCCTTGGATGCCCTCCTGTCTCCTGAGGCCTCCTCCCCGTACCCGCCGCTGCCCCCGCGCCCCGCCGCGCCCACCGCTGCACTGCAGCCACAGCCGCCCCCGCCGCCCCCCCCAGGGGAACTGTACCGCCTGCTCCCCGCCTCCGCTTCCCAGGGCCCCAGCGCTGCCTCTTCTTCGTCCTCGGAGCCCGGGGACAATGGTGACTACACCGAGATGGCCTTTGGCGTGGCCGCCACCCCGCCACAACCCATCGCGGCCCCCCAGAAGCCGGAAAGTGCCCGTGTGACCAGCCCCACGTCCGGCGTGAAGAGGCTGAGTCTCATGGACCAGGTGTCTGGGGTCGAGGCCTTCCTGCAGGCGAGCCAGCCCCCAGACCCGCACCGGGGGGCCAAGGTCATCCGTGCAGACCCACAAGGGGGCCGCCGCCGCCACAGCTCCGAGACCTTCTCCTCAACCACTGCTGTGACCCCCGTGTCCCCGTCCTTCGCCCACAACCCGAAGCGCCACAACTCGGCCTCGGTGGAAAACGTCTCTCTCAGGAAAAGCAGCGAAGGGGTTGGCAGCGGCGCCCTGGGTGGGGGTGACGAGCCCCCCACGTCCCCTCGCCAGCTGCAGCCGCCGCCTCCCCAGCAGGCGCGACCGTGGATTCAGGGCCAGCCTGGCGGCTTGGTGGGCTGCCCTGGGGGCAGCAGCTCTCCAATGCGCAGGGAGACCTCCGCAGGCTTCCAGAACGGCCTCAACTACATTGCTATCGACGTGAGGGACGAGCCGGGTCTGTCAACGCCTCCGCCAGCTCATCCGCACCCGCCAGCAGGAGACAAGAGCGCCTGGGGCCGGACCCGTAGCCTTGGGGGTCTCATCAGCGCCGTGGGGGGCAGCAGCGGCGGGGTGTGTGGGGGGCCGGGCCCTGGCGCCCTGCCCTCAGCCAGCACCTATGCCAGCATTGACTTCTTGTCCCACCATCTGAAGGAGGCCACGATTGTGAAAGGTGAGGCCCCAACACCTCACGGCAGGGGGAGGGAGAGCGGGAGAGGGTGAGGGGCCCTGGGTGCAGCCACCTTCTTTCCTTGGTCTGGCGATCCAAGCGCCCAAATATCGGTCCAGGCTGCTGCTTTTGTTTCCTTTGGCTCTCTTGGCACCTCTTTCCCTAGAGACCTGAGCAGGAGCAGGCATGGACAGTGTCCTTGGCTGGTGTGTGAGGCTTCCGTCTCTGGGACTTTGATTTGCTTTTTAGCCCAACCCCAATTCTTCTTCCCTATAGCCCTTACTTCCCCTCTGTTCACACAGAGGCCGGCCTGCAGGTCAGCCACCGCACACAGGCAGCAGCCCCGTCTCGGCCTCCTTGATCTGAGAGGTGGGAAGGTGGTGCTAGGAGGGATCTGACGCTTTGACAGTTTCCAGGCAGCAGCCCCAAGCTTCTCTTTGTTTTCCTGGAGCTGGGCCCTAGCTGATTGTTGCTGAGCCTCAAAGTTCATGAAAACAGGCCTGAAAGTCACCTAGGGAGTGAGCATCCATTTTGGTGGCGGCTACGAGGAACGGTTAACCATTACAACTTGACACAAAAGCTGCTGGAGCTTTGCCATTCAGGACATTATTTTCTCTGAAGGGGCTGAAATGGTGACACTGCGTAACCACAGCTTACAAGCAGTGGCCCTCAGCTGTGAGCATACCTAGGAGTCAACTGCAGTTTGTTGGGACCTGGATGGCTGGGCGATGTAAAGCCCCAGAGATTCTGAGGCTGTAGGTCTGGAGTGTGGCTCAGAATGTGCATTTCTGAGAAGGCCCCAGGTCACGTTGATGATGCTGGTTGGGGACCATCCTCTGAGAACCCTGCCCCAGGTTAGACTAACCTGAGGAGGTTGGGGAAATCACCTATTGGGCTTCACCCCAGACACATTCAAGTTAAGCAGCCAGTGGGCAGAGCCCTGGCACCAGCAACTCTCAGAGCTGCCCAGGAGCTGTTGATGTGCAGCCAGGATTCAGAATCAGTGCTTTAGAGAAGAGTGGAGGACGGCAGCACAGGTCTTTTCAAGAATAATTGGGTAGGGTGGTGCTGCTTTCTTCGTGTTCTCATCACACAGCCGTGAGCGGGGAGAGCTGCCATTGCCTTGCAGCTGGCAGCCCATTCTGACTGTCTTAGACTCCGAATGATGGGGAGCGTGCGTAAGGAGGGTGTTAATTCAAGACAGTTTCTGATTTTATAGCTCTTTCTGTGCCGGGTTGCTAGTAAGGTGGAGGCGCCGTGGGGACCCAAGCAACTACAGAGTGGTGATAGCTGGCCTAAGGTCCCCTGTCTACCAGGGTTCCAGTGTGATGATCAAGATAGCCTGTGGATCTACAAGCGTTCTCTTCTTAAAGTAAACAGACCAGTCCAGTGCCAAGTAAATCCAGCATGCGTTTTATAATACACGTGGGACTGTTAGTCTGTGGGTTTGAAAATTTTAGTTATAGAGTAAATACCTTGTTAGCTTAATACAGTAGAGGAAAAGCTAGTTGCTTTTTAATCAGAACCATACAAGATGAAAAGAGTCACAGAGAAATCATTTGGGACTTGTCACAATGTGTCCCCTAAGTGATGACTCTCAGCTGAAGGTCACTTTGCTTGGAGTTAAGTTAGGCAGTATAGGTACCTGAAAACTTGCTAGTATGTCGGGATGTTGAGGGGTTAGTGGCTGTCCAAGATACCCTCCCTCTAAATGCACCAGCATAATTGGAATTGAGTGGGACAAAAAATATGTACACAGAATAACTTACTTGATATGCCCAAATGGGTATGTGCCATAGTGAACATGAAAGTGCATTTTGCTGAAATCTGATTCCAATCAGAAAAACAGCCTGAGAACATAACACCTTTTACTGCCTTTAACGGAGTAGGAAGGCAAAAACCAGGACTGGATTGAGGAGGCCCCAGGAGTGGGTTCTTTGTAACAGGGGGAGTGAACTGGAGTTTGGTCTGCAGTCCCGAAAGGATTCAAGGCCTTCCTGATAAAGTAGCAGATACATTCATAAACATGATTCATGTGTGATATAATGCCCTTTTCAGACTAGGGAAAATTTTAAACTTCCAGACATAGACTTAGTTAGAGACCCAATTTAACTTGTTTTAAGATTTCCCACCAGGATATAATTCCTTTCGACCTATAGGATTCAGGATTCTGAAATCAAAACAGCAGCATGTATGTTCCATGGTGGCTGGCTGAACAAAGATGAACAATCACTTTTGGTTGCTGTTTTCCAAAGTCTCTGTGGGCATGAGGGTAAATACCTTTTTAAGAAGAAAAAGGCTATTTTTAAGGAAAATAGATACCTGCAATTGATCTGTTGTGCCCAAATTACATTTTTAAAAAAGGACTACATGCTCAATGGATTTCTAGTAAACAAACACATTTGAACACAGGGAACGTTAAAATATGAGAGAGGAGGATGTCATCTTAATCAGTGTGGACCCTCAGCTGTGGTCTGTGAAGCCAGAAGGGAACATTTTACTCAGAAGGGGCATCCACTTGCACTTATAACTTGCGCATGCATGTAGAATTTGTTTGTGGTGCTCAGCAATAAGAAAGGTCACAGAAGATGGGTCCTTTGAGAAAATAATTTATAGAAGGAGAACTTGCAAAGCATTTCTTTGAAGATGGAATAGAAAAATAACTTCCTGGGTCGGCGAGTGCCTGCCCTGGCTCTTGTAAGGCATGTGTCTCCACCTGAGGCTCCTCCGGTTCCTCATGGAAAGACTTCATTAGTTATGCTGAAGTGGAATAATTTGGGGTCACTTAGGTAGTGTTTGGTTGGTATTTGCATAAGTGGTAACAAAGACTTAATGTTCCCGTGATGTTTGATAGCTGTTTACACTAGAATTGGGCATGGGGCAGGATCCCATGTTGGAGACTGTTAGAAAGTTAGTATACCTCAGGTATTGTACATACATGTGTTCAGTGTGGATACTATATATATATATATATAGTTCTGAGCAAATAAAAATGTAACTGTGCATCTTATTTGGGAGCAGGGGAAGATTAACATGTGTTTTGTTCCTGTGTATGTGGAAAAACCTCACCAATCTGTTAGTGCTGTTGTTTGGAAATGGGGACTATATTGCAGAATATACTATGCTTTAAAACTTCTCTTTAAAATTAGCTTTATACATTTTTGTATCCTGTTTATACATTGGTGTATATCATAAAATGTGCTTAGTGTTTCTCTGTGGTGGGATTGTTTTGAGATCGGTTTTTATGAATGTGTAAGGCAGATTAAGAATTAACACTGAAAGCATCTGTATTTAAATTGTGTCTGATAAAAGGGCTATTTATTCATATCCTTTGGTAGAAGCACTGTGGGATAAGAGAAATGTTTCCAAAGGAAGCACACAATCACGGTTTCTGTTTGAAAGTACTGTTTGTTGAAGTCTTAAAGCAGAGCGCTTGAATGTTTTTCGAACCCCAGTGAGAGCGCGGGGCAGAGCACATGCCCTTTGTTTCCCCTGCTGTGTGCCTTGCCCGCTTTCCTTGACGACCTCTTGTCCTAATAAGACGGTAATGCACACAGCTCCCACCCTATTCCCAGGAACAACCAAGGTGCTAATGAGAACACACAGGCTTTCGTGAATGAAAGTCACATGATTTGTGCTATTTCCTTTATTGAAAGAGAAACCTTTACAAAAATAGTACTTCGTAGAAGGAAGCATAGTATATGGAACACTAAACCAGGAATCAGGAAACAGGGTTTCTAGTTGCTGATCTTAATGAGTCATTGTGTGACTAGAGGGAAGACATTTAATCCCTTTCTCACTTTCTCTGCCTGTAAAATGGGGTAATTATAACCCTCCCTCCGCGTCACAGGGCTACCGGGAGTTCCAGGAGGTCATAAACGTGCAGAGCCCGTACGGTGGTCTTCCAAAGAATGTCTGAGAAACCCAGTGATGCTGTTGACACTTACTACCTTGAAACCATGAGTATATTCAGAAAAGACACTTTTATAAGCAGAGGTTCTTAGATTTAAAACAAAATAAAGCAGGGTGGGGTAAAACAAAATAAAACTCATAGTGTGAAAATGGGGCCACTATTTTCTTAAGAAATGTGTGCCTTTCCTGCTGATCACTAGTTGCCCTTTAATCTCTTAAGAACCATTTTTTCCCTTCTTTAACCTGAGATTTTTTTTCATAGATAGTTATCAATTGTAAGGAAAGTAGTGTTCTAAATTACACAGTAAAATAGCAATTCAGGAACATAGATCCTAATGTTGACACTGTATTAAGACCATACTTTTGATTACTTTTTTTTAAGTCTTTGATTTGTTTATCTAGATATGTCAGGAGGAAAACGTGTGATTGGAATATACATTAAAAAAAATTGAGTTTTGTCTCTTAAAGCAGATGCATTAAAGGAAAACCAGAACACTTAAACTTGAAGTTGTTGAACCGCCCATTGTTCGGCCTGGGGTTTTGCTCTCCGGGGCTGATGAAATTAGGGTGGGCACTCTCACGGTTTCGGTCTGTGTGGCCGTCAGACTGGATAGGGAGCACCCCAGAGTTTGACTGTGTTGTTCTTCCACAGGCCCACTCCCCCAGAAAGGAATTTTAATAGGTAATGTTTTATTTCCTTTAGAACTCTAAGTATTAAAATGAGTCTTTCTTCTTCTGGAGAGGAAAACTTCAAGTTTTCCTAACAGCACAGGTATAATAGGGTTTCTGTTAAGATTCCCACTAATGCGTTTTCTGTAGAAGCCTAGTTCCAAGAGCTAGTTAACTTTCCGTATCAGATTTGGCAAGTGGAGAGGTTTTTCTGTTTTGTTTTTTGGGGTAGCATAGAATCAAGTGTTCCCGTTTCACCTTAGAAACTGAAGGGAAAATGTAACCTTATTCCTTTATCTGCATTGCCAAGTAGAGTGGGGAAAACTCGGGGAAGTGAAGCCCTGTGCCCCGCCCCCTGGAGCCAGTTCTTGCCTGGGGCCACTGTGAGGTGAACTCTACCGACTCTAATGCAGACAGGAACA